CGCTTTCCTGGCCATGCTGGGTCTCCGCTGGTCTCCCACACAGCTACTGCTCTGTACGGCCACATCGAGCATCTTTCACAACTGCCACGCTCCCGCAAGCAGCTGGTGGTTTTGCCGGTGGTAGGCTGGACGCGCTGGGCTGCTGGCGTCGCTTCGCTCTGACCATGCATGGGGAAGAAATGCCTCATGTACCCGGCCGATTTGGATCTGACCTTGCTTGCTAAGCCTGGCCGCCGGCCCTCACGTGGTGAGACTGCGAGCGCAGCAGTGCAGTCCGGTCGGTACTGTGCCCTAAGCATCGCCCTGTCTGGGGAAACAGGGGGCTCATTTCCCCGCCCCCTTTCCTCCGTGCCCCTTCTGAAGAGATGGACTTGGCACTCTCCATCCAGCTGCTCTCAGCACCAGCTCTCCATCACCATCCTCCCTGCGACCTGCAGGGCTGAGGGCACCTTTCCAGCAGCGTGCTCACGCGGCTCAGCGTGGCCGAGGGCAGGGGACAGGGGATTTGAAAAATAAAGATAATAATTATTTGTCTAGTGTGTATTTGAACCCAGGCTTTTTATTGTGCATATGATAACAGGGAGGAGAGGGGGAAAGCAAGAGCTCTCATACATTTCTCGAGAGCTCGCAACTAAAAATGGGCAGGGTGACAAAAACCACGTTGTTTTGGGTAATCAGTGTGCATTGTCCCACGCTGACAATACTGCATACCAATAAAACCTTTAAATTCACAGGGAATGGGGAAAGTGCAAAATGATGAATTGTTTGACATTTAGAAGAAAATAAAGAGCTGCTGCTGGATTGAAACTTAAATGAGACTTGGGGAGGGAGGCAAAAAATTACCAGGAGCAGGTTGAGATTTTTATGTAATTCCAGTGCAAACTTCACGAACGATTTTCTGTTTCTGATCTTGTGGCCCCAAAGTCCCAGGTCTTTGCACTGACACGTGCTCTTAAAGCAAGAGACAGCACTTAGCCTGAATAGCCTGCCGGACACGTAGAGGATGCAACAAAAGATGGGTGTTTGTACGTGGGAACCGATGCCTGATGTGCCCAAGATGAAACGTTTCATTCCACAACAAATCACTGGTAAATCTAGGAGTTAACTCAGGCCTCTCTAATCCCTGCGACTGGTCCCATATTCAGTGTGGCTTTCCTGAGGCTGGAAAGATCCCAGGCATTTACAATTTAAATCCTCTATGTATCCGCAGGACAGGCAGAGCATAGGTGGAAATACATCCGAGGAAGGATTCCTGCAACTCCTGCCAAGGGAATAAGGTCCCAAATGATTAATACCTTAGACCTCTTCAAAACAAGAATGAAATATAAACGAAGCAATGAATTTCCAGTGCCCCGTGCAGTGATGGAAGCACAAGGTGACCAAGAGGCTGATATCAAGTCGAGAGCCATGGAACATGTGCCAACTTCTATCTTCTTGTGTGTTCTTGAGCAAAGTCATGCCTAGGAGGTCGATGGAAACAGCCCGGCCAAGCCCGTGCTGTGGGTGCTGCATCCCCGTAATAAGGGTTTGCTGAGTGATTTTCAGCCGGGAGGAGCTGCACCAGGTCCCTTGATGTAAAACAAGTTTGGTATCAATTAATCCGTCCTGGATTACATCCGGCAATATCTTGTTCTGCAAGGGTGTAATCTCATTAAAACACACTCGGAGCTCTGCTAGGTGTCACTCTCCAAACACGGTTTGTGTCTGCATCTGGGTTTGCAGAGTTATCATGCTTTTTCCTTTTCTTTTCCTCTTCCCGACAACTACCTCGGGTTGCACTGCTCGCTCAGGTTCCCTCTGCTTGCCAGCACGCTGTTTTTTGCATTTTTATTTGCATTAGATTATTGGAGCAGGAGTCTAAACACTTAAGTTACTGCAAATCCCTCCTCATATGGAAGTCAGTGAGCTGTAAAATATTTAAACTGTCTACAGTTGTACCTCGTTTGTTTACACATTTCCAGTGGGCTGCTAAAAGGTAACGTACTGTAATAGAAGTAAGATCCAAGATTGCAGATTCTGATTTCATAACAGCTCTGAAAGTGCTCTGAATACTTGCACTAACTTGACGGAGTAATATATCTCAACCTTCTGAAGCCTTAGGGCCCAAGCGGAGCAGGAAAGAGCTACGTGCTTTACTCCAGGCTCTCTGCTTTACGCTTTCACTCTGATCACCGAGGAAGATGCGGTTAGGTGGGTCTTGCTGTAGTTACTGCTGGAGTCATCCACAAATCGCCCTCCTCCCCCCTGCCCACGTCCTCCGCAGCCGGGTCTTTCAGCCCTTTTTGGTTTTCCCCTCGCTCTGCTGAGGAAGCGCTCCAGGGCTCGGTGGACAACTGAGCATGGAGTTAGATGTGCCTCCCTTCAGAGCACTTGTAAATGTCTTGCAGAAAAGGAAAAGAGCGGTGTGATTCTTCAAAGGGCAGCGAGAGGTGATAGATGACTAATCAGTCCCGAGGCAGCAGAGGGCATCAATGAGTTTGAAGATTCATCTCCAGAGCTGAATGAAAATAGCCAGACACTGTATTCAATAATTAACAACACAGATTTCAGCTCCTTTCCTCCTTTCATGGTAGTCCTGAACAAACTCAAGAAGTTCTCAGGTATATCTTCTGGATTTTTTCCAAATAACTTTTGAACAATATATAAATCACAGTGCTAATTAGTTTCACAAATTATGACGAGGTTTCTATGGCCTGACTGGATGCAATGCATGTATTTGCAGGTGTGGATAATGATGATCACTGTAAATGCACCATTTTCAACTTATTGGAATGCAAATTTCCTTGCTGAAAATTCACACCTTTGTTATGAATTTCATTGTTCACTTTGGAAATCCAACCAGTTAGCCATGACATTTATGCTAGTTAAGCTTATTTGGGGGAATGATTTGCAGAAACTGAGCTTGGCAAGGCAGATTTGCTGAGTGAGTCCAGCAAATAGCTGCAGGATTCTTTTGTCCCTTTCCCTGGCTCCGGGTGGTGGGGTAGAGGAAGAACACCTTCTCCTGACATACTCAGCTGTTCCCAAAAGAGAATCAGTGTCAGGTAGGGACCAATGCCTCCACCTTCTCCTAGATGCCTGACATCAAAATATTTGCTCAGGAGTCCTCTAAGAATAGAGCCCAAACTAGATACCTTTCACTTTGTGCTCTCTGATTAATTTACTAATTTTAATTAACATTATCTAAATGTAGTCTTACATAGTCCCGATGCTAGAATAGTAGTGAAATCCCACAGATGGACAAACGGAGGCAATGGTTTCCGTGATGTGACACTGCAAACCGCATGGCAAAGCTGCCAATGGCACAGAGAGATCCCAGGTTTGAGAGCTCTGCTTTAAGGGACCGATCAACTTATTTCCATTTTGTGAGCAAAACCAAATTTAGAAGTTCATTCCCCTGTGAGCATCTCCAGGGCTGCTGGAGGAGATCCCCAGTGCTGTGCTGAAGGGTCAGCAATACCCCTGAGCCCTCTATTTCTCCATCAGAGGTCTCTTTCCACTCTTCGGAGGTTTATGGTGAGTGGCAAGGAGCCAGCCCCCACGGGCATGGGATGGAGGTGGCTTGTTCTCAAGTGTTTAAAAGTCTGACAAACTGTTTGCAGTTCTAGGAGGGATCAACACATTTCTAGAATTAAAACCAACATCTTGGATAGCAAAAATGCTCTGAACAAGGACTCTTTCTTCAACCTAATGCACAAGGGACCTTTCTTTAGTAAGCTATAAAATCACTTACTATAAATCAATTATTTTTGTACTGATTTATTAACTGCTCTCCAGCTGTTCAGATTGGCACTTAAAAAAAAAATTCCTGGATGGTCCTACTAAAGTTTTCAAAAGCATTTTCTCTGGAGTACTGTTGGTCCAACCTCATTATAATATTCCCTGGTAACCCACATATTCCTAAATGCACTTAAGCTGGCAAGGATGGAAGCCCCAGTCCACACAGAGTACCTCTGACCTTGTGGCGAGATGACCTTGATTTGAATTGTGCTGGGAACTCCTGTCTGGAGCTCCTTCAGTAGCCTCTTCTGGAAACCTTGGAGTCAACCAACCCAATTACAGCACGTTCCTTAGGATGTTGGACTGGATATGCTCACGATGCTTGGCGATGCACTGGAGGACCATCCCTCCAACCCCTGGCCCTGGGATTTCTGCCTCTGCAGCCACAAAAAACACTTCAGGAGCTCAAAGCATCTGGCCTCCTGCCTTGACAGCCCTTCCATCAGGGAGAATGCACTCCCATACAAATTTTTCAGGCTTTTCCTGTGTATTTTAGCTAGGATCTAACGCAACACAGCACAGCTTCTCCCTCATATCCCTGACAATTTCTCTCTCTGATGTGCTTACGAAGGAGTGCCTGGTCTCCGAGAGGAGCCTAGCAAGGTTACACCTTTGTCTGCAAAATCCAGCCTGGAAATGCCATGTAGCAGGTAATCAATAGCCTTTGTAGACGGGGACCGTGCGGGTGACACCATTGCCACCGTCCAGCACTGGTCCGGTTGTGTGGGCACAGGCATACAGGGCTGTCAGCGCCTGCGGAGCCACGAGAAGGGCAGCACCTGAAAGCTCTCGAGCATCGTCTCAGCCACTTTTTCTTGATGCGACAAAGGATTGAGAGGGGTCTCGGTCAGCAGTGCTGGCCTCTCACTCGGTTTCATTTTGAGTTCTTGCTCATGTAGGTATCTCCAAATCTTCTCCATGTTGTCCCAGGATGGAACTAACCCGTTTTCCATTGGGTAAGTAAAAGACAAAATGCCCCTTTTGGACTGTGCTTCTTCCCCTATCTAGCAGCAATCCTTACGGCTCACCCCAAACACGACGAGCTTGAATTTGGGGTATCCCACAACAGCAGAAAGAACCGAACAGGGTGCCTGTTCCCCTGACAGACCAGCCTTACACTGTCCAGAGCTGATGTCAAAAATCAGTGCTGCGGAGTCAGACGTCCTGCGCAGGACAGTGCCGTCCCTGGCAGTGGCTGCTGGCACAGAGCAACGTTCTAGATCCCCCAGTCGCAAACAGGCACCGTTCCGCCAAGCTCACAATCCTCTGCAGCTGCACTGGCAACGCTGCTTCCTCCAGGGAGCCGGCAGCGCGGAGCATTTGGATTCAGGGCTAGTACTTGGAAGTGAAACTGGGTGTTCTTACTTCCCAGATAAATTGCAGCAGAGGATCAATGGATTTTTTCAGACGCTCAGGCGCAGAGGAGCGTCGGTTACAGTAATTGCATTTGCATTGATTTATATCTGGATTCTGTTTGGGGTTTTGCTGGGTTTCTAAAGGAGACATTTTTAATGAGGTCAAAAATAACGTGAGAGCTGGTTTTAGAATACAGCCCCTAGATAGCTCAAAGACCTTAGAGGGAAGAATCTCCCAGCAGAGGAGGTACGCTGCTCCCCGTATGACTCTGAGTCGGTGAGGGAGTTACTGCATCCCTGTGATATGTGCACACCTGTAAACTCAGCGAAGGGGAGGGGAGATGATAAGAAGATCCTTGTCACCCATGTTTTTAATGTTTTATTTTCATACAGCTTTCATCGGCCACACAAAGGGCTGTAGCACCTTTTAGGGCAGTCAGCTCTCAGCAGGGTTTCTTGCTCAGGTGGTGTTGTGGTGAGCCATTCGCTTGGCCTGACGTTCTCCTTAAAAGCATTTCCGGTGAATGACAGCTGCCCCAAAATCTCTGTAATCGTCCACGGTGACCCACATTTGTTTGAAAGACGTCAGGCAGGTGAGGATGGAGGCCCCAATCCACACACAGTATTTTCTCTCGGGGGGTGCGATGATCCTCACAAACATGCCAGCTGGAACTTGCAGCTTCATCTCCTTCAGGATCCGCTCCTCCAGGCCAGGGAAAAGCGTGGACCCACCCGAGAGCAGGATGTTGCCACAAAGATTCCTGCGCACGTCGATGTCACACTTCATGATGCTGTTGAAGATCATTTTGTGCACACCAGGAGCTTCAACTCCAATGTTTGCAGGCACAAAAAGGGTCTCTGGTGCACGAAAGAGCTGGTTGCCTATCTGGATGATATTGTTGTCAGGCAATTTGTATTCTCTCATGATTTCTTCTGGCTTTGCTTTCATTTCTCGGGTGGGGTCTAAAGCTATGTAGCACAACTTCTCTTTGATATCTCTCACAATTTCCCTTTCAGCTGTGCTAACGAGAGCATGCCCACTCTCCAAAAGAAGCTTCATAAAATATTCAGTGATATCCCGGCCAGCAATATCCAGCCTGGAGACGGTGTGAGGTAAGCAGTATCCTTCATACATGGGGACAGTGTGGGTAACACCATCTGACTATTCCAGTAATGCGGGCCGACGCGTAGAGAGCCAGCGTTGCCTGGACGGCAACGTACATAGCTAGTACCATGAAGCCTTCGAACATGATCTCCATCATTTTTTCCCGGTTCTGCAGAGGGTTGAGGGGGGCTTCAGTCAGCAGCACTGGCCTTTCACTGGCTTTGATTCTCAGCTCATACTCATAGACATGTCTCCAGATCCTTTCCATATCATGCCATGGTCAATTGGATAATTCAAAGACAGGATGCCTCTTTTGGCCTGAGCTGCTTCTTCAATGTAACATTCTTTCTGTCCAGCTCCCAGCCTTGTAGCTTTGACTTTTGAGCGACCAACGATTGCTGTAAAAACAGACCTTGGGCCACTGTCACCTGCGATACCCGCTTTGAATAACCCAGACCCATTGTCAAAGATTACAGCTGGGACATCCAAAACGTTGGGGTCAAACATTCTTCATGGAGCTGATGGCTCCCTGGCACTGTTTGCCCGTTCCCCTTTTACAGGCTGGTCACCATGGCTAGGGAAGTCTTCTCGGGGATGTACAGCTTGCCGTTTCCAACATGTTTGTCCCCAACTACCTCACAATGGCCAGTGATACAATAATACGTTTTCCCAGACGCTTCCCTGGATATGGCCAGAGCAGCTTTACCACGTCTCCAGCCAGAGGACTATGAATTCACCGAGGCCGATCCACAGCTCACGGACCGTGAATGTATCCCGGTGCTGAGCCTGAGAATACTTTTTTCCTCAGAATTGAAAAGCGTATATTGCAAAATACATGCATGACAATAATTAAATTTTTCACACGTGCTTCTGGCTTAGCTAACACTCTAGAAATATTTCCAAGAGTTGGTGAAGATTAGGACAATTTTGCCTCCCTGTAAGTATTAACTGAATTACCAGTTTGCTTTTCTGAATAATGTCTGCACTGGAAGCAGACCTTTTTCAGCTGAATCTTTTCTGTTCCTTTATAGGAAACTCTGAAAAATATTTTTACATAGTTAGAACTATGTTTGGCACTGATTATGGCATTCTGGAATATTTTTTCCTGTTCTAGTTACTTAATTTAAAAACTATTTTTTGGTAAAATCACAAAAGTGAAATAGTAATTTCTGTGTCTTGCTGGTTTAAAAAACCCTGACAGCTTTAAACAATGCTTATAATACTTTCTAATGCAAAAAAAATTCCTTCCCGTAATGAGTCTATATCCTAGGCTGCTGACAAGCTGACCTGCCTGCAAATAAACAGACACGCAGATGCCTTCCTTCCACGCTTCTCTTTTCCATTCAGCACTTTGCTGAGAAGAACAAACTCTTTTTTGGAAGTCTGTTTAACAGGATTAAAAAAAATCCTAGATCTTCACAACTGATCCCCATTTCACATCTAATTGTTGGGTTTTTTAAAAAAAATTTTGCTTCAAGAGAAGATTTCCCAAAGAAGGAAATTTCTATAGCTTTGAATCCAATCAGATCTGACAATCCAAATCCATTTACAGAGAAAATTTCCTTTAGAAAAAAATAAATCACTATATAACTTCAGTTTGAATCCTTGGCTGCCAGAGTTTAATTGCTTCTCCTTGTGGCTCTAAATCCAGGGCAGCTTCAAAGCAAGGGTGGCTTCTATTAAATTTAATTACTTTTTCCTGCAGCTCGCATGGCAAAGGTGCCAGCTACTAAATGAAGGTGGTTATGAATCAGAGGCAGATTCCAAACAAAGATATATATTAAACAGAAATTTAAAGTGTAAGCACATGACCTCCTTGTACGGAGACGTGTATGCCCCAGATCAACTACTAAAAGGAAAAAAACCCATCTAACGAGGGATCAGCTCTGTGTATGTTATTTCCATCCCGCTTAGATTCCAGACATGTTTGTGTTAAATGCCCCTGTACCCATTTTAGCAATGTCTCTAATCCTCTTCGTATTTGTGTACGTGTATTTCAGTGCGGGGCACGCTTGTTTTCATGCATGCTTCAATATTAACATCAACAGGTGTCCTAATCATTGCAGAGGTTGGTACATGCATCACGCCAGAAGCCCCATTTCATCCTGCGATGGTCTGCGCGCAGCTTAGAGAGAAGCACCCCGTTTTGAGCGTGATGTTGAGTATTAAAACAGGGGAATATTGGCTGTGATTATTAAATGGCAGTTGAACCTAGACGCAGGAATGTTCGTCTGTTCCCTCATATTGGTTCTGTCATAAATCACCTTAAAAAGGACATGTGTGAATTAATCTACTATAGGGTTTGTAATAAGTGAAATCACTGTTTGTGTTTAGCTGTACTGTAAATTGAACCCGTAGAGGAGACAATCATCTGAGACATCAGAAGTTTCCCGTGCTCACCCGGCAGTATAGCTGACACGACAAGATCTCATTCAGGGATGGGAAGACAGCTCGTGTTCTGAGCGCCCGGCCGTCTTTGGCGTTTGCCCGAGGCTGCCCGGGACGAGCAAATCCACTGCACACGCGCTGCTAACGGCTTGACTAGATGGCGTCCACTGTTTGTCACCTCTTAAGGGGATGGAATACAAACTGGAAGCTGAGAGGCACGTTGGAAACGCAGTAATAACGTAATTCCCACGACACAGCACACGTAAATGAGCTCTGTCCCACAGACACTGGATCGTCAAAAATCGTAGATAGTTAAAGGTGGTGTTCATGGGCCAGTCCTGCTTGCTTCACATTTTTACTTACCGGCTTACGCGTGTCTTTTTGCTCTATTGACCGTGTCGCCTGCACAGAACTGATCCCCCAGGCAGGCCAGGACTTGTCCGTTCTCCATAGCCATCCTCTGTCCACATATTTCTGGAGACAAACACGTAACACCGGGCAGATTCTGACTCGGGCCAGACTGGAAATCACCTCGAAAAGGGTGATGAGCTTTGGAAAGTCTGAGTTCACCTGGGGTAAAACCAGAGGAAAAAGGATGGGCTGAATGCCCACATAAACCGCAAGGGCCCGACCGATGTGTGACAGCGGTAGCAGCGGGGATAAATGTCTGTCTGCATCTAGAAAGCGTGACCAAGAAGAGAAAGTCAGACCAGAGGCTGGGGGAGAGGTGCTTCTCTCCGTGCCTTTCCACACCAGACTATTTTGATGTCGGCCCTGTTCTTCCTTTGCATTTGTGTGGGTCTTGGCATCCTCAGCTGACCTTTCTGGATGTGATTACAGTACGCTGAATACAGGTGAAACCCCAGAAATAATAACGCTTCATCAGAGAAGCCCTTAATGAACTCCAGGCAAGCAGGATTTTTTCTGTTTCACAGAAAAAGGGGACAATTGCAAGGAATTGGTGCATTCCCCAAACTCACTCCACTCTGAGTCTTTCCCAGTTTCCTACAGGCAACTCATTTTGCTAACACAATTATTAGGAAACCTCAGACGTACAGCTCTGAGGAACACCTGCCTTATCCTTCATAAACTTGACAGGCACTTGATGCATTGGCATTAATTTCTCCATCAAATAGCTTAGCTCTCTCAGTCAAGATATATCTGCCACCTTAGTGGGGCACATCTTTCCCCCATCTTTGTTTACAACCCCCTAAAATGTGGATTATCTTCTTGGCTTACGGCTTCGCCATTGCTGCCGTTGGGTGGGCAGGACAGGCGTGGGGCTGTTGGCCGAGAGCTCTGCGACAGCGGCTCTGTCAACGGCATCACCGATGCGACTTTCCAAGTGGATTTTAAGCTGAAACTTTTTATTGCTGTGAAGCAATGCATTAAATACATCAAAGAGGTGAAAATAATAAAAAAAACCCCCAAAAAACAACAAGAGACTGGCATGTGGTGGACACGAGTCTCAA